GGGACTATTATTTTAAACATTTTGCTGCCTGGCTCTGGTGTTACGTACAGTTTCATTACACACCATTTAGTCAACAGCCTGCAGATAAAAACAAGGTCATGGTTCACATGTTTTTGCACTTGTCAGCAATTAGGGAAAACAACTGCTATAGCAGGTGTGAACATGGCATGTTTTAAGCCGAATTTCAGAGGAAAGCGTCTGCTGCAAAATTCCTCTCGCGGTTGGAAAAAAAATGTTTGCCAGATCAGGTTCATTTCAGTAGACTTTAAAATACAAATGACACTTTATGTGATGTTATGAACAGTGTAAAAATATCTCCTTCTTTTCTTACAAACCTCAGCTCTTATAATGACCACATATCTTGCCACCTTCAAGGATACAGTAAGAATTTGCTTTCAAAAGAGATGGAGATAACCCGAGGGCAGTACTGTGCTAGTCCCCAGTCACATGGTCAGACCATCCATTGTGGAGCCATTCAAATCTTAGCTGTACTAGCTTTTGTGTGCTTCCTCTTTTCAGTATCTGTTTTGGGAATCTAAGCAGTACCAGCACTTCCACGAGACTAATAAGGCTACCACAAACTCACACACTTTTAAAGACACTCACAGAAACGTGCTGCATTCCATTTTTAAATTAACTGCGTTTTTTTCTCAAACCTAAATAAAATAAAGCAAAGTAACCTACGTCAATATTAAACACTGAGGGAGAAGTGTTTATGTCAGGTCTTTTTTAGGAGAGCAGCCTTATTTTATGAGCTCGATTGAATCGTTACTTCACTTTATTGAGATGACAAATGTGTCATTCTGCTCTATGCCTTTAATATGTTTTTCTGTTATCTGCTGTCTTTCGTTGTGTGTGTTTTTGTCTTCCCGTGTGTGTATGCTTGTGGCAGTGCCTACAGTAATGACACTATGAGCCCTACATGCTTCAGAAGCACGTAGGGCTCATAGGAGTCAGAATCTTTCAGATTTGGCAAGTGTTTTAATATCGGTATTTCTGTTGTTACGATGTACCACTTCATATGTGCTCTCTCAGTCTGACTGAAAATAAAACACTGATTCACTTCTCACACTGAGACACTTGTAAATTTGCTCACAAGTCTGGAAAGACATGCTTTGTGGCAGTGAAATCTTTTTTATTTGTCTTGTCAAGCTATTTTTTATTAATCTTTTTGTTAGTTATGATATTGTTAGTCTGTAAAAATCAGACTATTTTCCCTTAGTGACATCTTCAAATTGCTAGTTTTTATCAAAGTAGCAATTCTCCGAATTCCTTCAATACATCTCTCAATAAGCTCCTTGGCTGTGTAAAACTGACTGATGTTAATAGACCTGCTGTAGATATTAATCTCCAAAGATGTTCAGAGATTTCAAAAATCTCTCCGGGAAGTGTCGGAACCGCTAAGATAGAAAACATGTAGTTTAAATAATAATCACACTCAAGGCTATAGAGCAGATGTTTATTGTCATTTAACGATTCAGAAAGAATTATTGGAATATTGTGAGTGGAAAAGCACGATGAGGGAACTTGTATTTCTATGTGACAGCTACATTCAGTGTGATAGTAAATGTGTTCTAATTGAAATATAAGTCACATTGATTGCCAGGTTTAAATTGTGTCTCAGTGTCTTTTTTGCCTCTTTTCTCCACCTCCATGCTTTGCTTGAAAACATTATCCTCCCTGTGCAAACATACGGAAAACCTTGATATATACCGTCAAGCAGAATACGTGCGCACTGAGAAATCTTTAGCTTAGGCAGTGTCTTGCATTATCTCTGTGTTTGCAAAAGCAGTCATTGAGAAGCCATTGTAACAGGATTTATTTAGATGAATTAATTTGTTTTGACTTGGTCTAATTCAGTTACACGGACCGTATTCTGTGTGTCTGATGCCACTCCTTTCAAACTGACCAGTACATTGGTAGTGCAGCAGATCTTATCAGATTACACAAAGACAAATTATGTAATTTTGTTGTTTGATATGACAACGACGAGCAAGCGTTACCCTCCGATGTAGTGTGACAGTTTTGCGGTGCTTTGTTTTTCTTCGGAGGAAAGCAGCTTTTTAGCATAATCCACACAGTATCTCTAGATGAATGGTTTTCGAGTGGCAGCTCTAGTGTACTCTTTTGAAATGTTGAGGAGCAGCAGACCAAATTTGAACGGCCTTTATACTGACATTTAGAACAGGTCAATATTCTCCTCGTGTTTTTAACTGTGGTTTGACAATGACCACAGACATGTAACTGTGGCTATCTGTGTATAATCTGCAGTGTTCAGACAGGTGTACTATGTTGACGTACAGGTTTCTGAATGCTTTACTGAATTGAGGTCATCACTGCTAAACTGCTGTGTTTTGATAATGATGCGTTCACAATAATTCGTTTCTTACTTGGACACAAAATTAAGATAAGCATGTATTTTAAGTAAGTTTCAATGCAAGCTGATAACTCATGTAAATGTATTTTTATTTACATAATGTGAAACCACAACAGTTGCCTCAATGTGCTTTATATTGTTAAAAAAAACCTCTATATTAATAAAGAGATCAAATATTTTCTTTTTGACCAAAAAAATATTTTTCTGTTGACAATAACTTTGTTAATTTAAATTTTCTGAATAAGCAACAGAAGTTAAACAAATGAGCGCCTAATAAAACACAAGGTTTGGTTTTTTTTGCTGTGCTACTGATGCTTACTTGCCAGCGTTCAAGGCTAATTATACAATTTTCTTAAAGTCTCTTTCATCAGCTTTGATTTTATTTCCCCAAAATTTAAAATTTTCTTGCTGAAAATCAGGAATCGTTGCTAAAATCTGCTAGAATGTAGATGAACAGAGCGTCTGATTAAACAGGGACACGAGGTAGTTTAATGAATTTACCAAGAACTGTCAGAAGCACTTTGTGTTACAGGCCTTACTGCCAACAATGGCTATCTCACAGTAATTCTTTTTTATTATTAGAACTAATTAAAGTAACAGCTAATTTCCTTCTAAACCCATTTTACAGTGGCATCGTGGCTACTGATTTTATAGTGATAGTTCCAGTGAGTGAGTTAAAATGACATCACGCAGATGGTCTTGTTTAATTGGTTGAGTATAACAAGCGTTGCTATTTAAAAGATATGCAATTATAGTCACTTTGAAACAAAACTAGTCTTTTGTCCAGCCTGGAAAAGAAACGTATTTCTCCTTCCACCTGGTGATATTTTATATCTTTACACGAATTAATGTAATACTAACATTAATTGCAGTTTGTAATATTAATTTTAACATTTATTGTAGGAAATATGCATACTTGTATGGTTTTGTGTCCCCAAATTGGTTCTCAAGTTGTGGGATATTGCTTTGTGTTTTCATTTTTAAGGATCTGCATGGACTCATAATCATATTTGATTAAGGAGGGACCCAGAGCTAATTTGATTAGGTTATTTAGAGAAATATGTGTTTGGTAATAAACATTTATTATGATGAAAAAGTTTACTTTAATAAGCGGGAGAAGCCCAGAGGACATGCAAGCTTAATTGTTAGATGTTAAATTGCAATGTTGCGATGTTGCCAAGATAATGGGCAAGGAAAGGCCCTCAAGTCAAGGCAATTAACCAAACAGTGGTTTGATTGTTGTTAAATTGATTAGAAAATGTTTAAGTACTCCATTTGAAAATTAGCTATTGTTTCACACAGTTTTAGGCTGCTAGAGAATGCTGGGCTTAATGATACATACGTACTGAGTTACAAATGAGAAAAGTTGTTGCTCGGGTTAAATTATTAGCGTTACACATGTTGGGAAGTGTCATGCTGCCTTTTTAAAAGCAATAAAGGCTTTCACAATACCGAAACAAATACCTGGACATCCCCAGCAGAACCCTCTATATGTAACGCCGCCTGTGTTATTTTAACTTGAAAAAACAGCTTAGGTAACACTGCACATCGAGACTTTGTTCTTTCTAGTCAATAGCTTTATCTCCCAACTGTTGATCAGTTGTAGCCGACAAAACTAGTGATAGATATGGCAGTTTGAGTGTCTGCTCGGTGTTGCCCAGAGCGACAGCCGATGAAGACACACAGAGGGAGGTGCAGGTTAGCGCCAATCTGTTTGCTCGCCCCAGCATCAGTAGTTTCCTGATTAGAATAGTGGAGAAATCCGCGGCTGGAGGCAGGCTTTATGGCCATCGCTACCCCACATCTCCCCACTCATTAGTACTTTACAGCCGAGCGCCACAGCATATGGCAGCGTTGCTACTGATTCCCATTTGAGGTGTGTTTCAAATGGCTGTCCCTTGCCGAGCCACAAGCCTTTGGCAGTAGCCATTCTTAGTGTGTCTGAGATGAAGATAAATATCTGGATTAGGAGAAGCGGTTGAATTTTTTGGGCCACTGTCACCACAAAGGATGCTCTTCAGAACACAAATTACAGGAATAAAAGAAGCTTTTGGTGTTTAATTGTGTCATGCTGTAACTACATTCCCTGGGAAAATGTATTATTTTGGGAATACACAAAACTTTAACCTAGCAGTGCTAACTTGCATGTTATTGGGTTTTTCTGGGTTTTTTTAACCTGATGTGGATGTGTTTGATTATGGGTGCTTTCTGATGGACCTCATTTTGTGTGCTTGTATTTGTCGTGTTCATTCTTGAACACAAACGTTTTTACTTTTACCCTATTGTCTGGGATCATCAAGTGTTACCATATCCTGCATATGCACATGTACAGTATTTGCTCAAGACAGGAATGAGCTATTGCCCTCTGTGGTACCAAGACAATTTGCACATGTGTTTTATGTATTCTCTAATGTATGCAAGCATTATTAAAAATTTAATTTGGTATCTCAGAGGGAAATGCAACACCATTTTCTACTCTGTGATACCAAAGAGAGAGAAGAAAACGCTGCGGTATCCAGGGGACACTGTACATGTGAAAACACTTGAGATGGGACGACGTGCACTTGCCAGTGTTGTCGTTTTCTGTTGGATTGTTTTTCACACTGTGCCCTCCCTCCAACAGAACATACACATAAAAACATTGGCTGATGATATGGTAAGGTGCTTGGTTTAATTTTGGTGTGATTAGTTTTGTTTTACATCCTCTCACGTTTTCTTATAGCTGCATGGGACTTTTAACTGAAGTATATGGATGGATCAAATGTGCCAGAAGCAAATTGTTTAAATTGCCATTTTAACTGTATATGAGTTACATCATGTGGCAAAATGATACAGTGGGTTTTTACACAATAGCAAATAATGATAAGTAGCGCTCCGTGAAAGACATTTTTTATTGTAGTGCACTCTGCACCAACAAGGTCTGTTTGCCTAAATTTTTCATTATGAACATAACTTAGCCCTCAGCATCTCTGCTTTTGTAAGCAGGTCATAGATCATTTAGTGTGCAATTATTAGTAGCACTTCTGATTAGATGGTTTTACCTGGGGCCTTTTTAATATCCTTAGTTAACAAATAGCCCGACGCATGTAGTATTACATGAGTTTTGGGATGTACAGCCAACATATTATTATTACGTACTACTGCTGCAATAATCAGCTTTCAGTATGTTTGATCCATCCGGTAATACTTCAGTATACTGACATTTGCGACATCGTGTATGTCATCATTATATGTCTGTCTGTTAATTTCATTTATATCTGTTCATTCATCCAGCATGTTCTCTCCCTTTGATAATACTAACAGTGACTGGTTGCATGCAGTTCATATACTTTTCTGCTTTTACACTTAATGTTACTGCATTCATAAGAGTAGGATTAACCAATTAATATAAAAAGGAATGTCTCTTAGTACCCTACCCTGCAAACTTGCAAAGTGGCATTGTATGCTAGAATCACTTGAGCATAAACTGAGCAATCCTGTGGGTTTGACGGTAAGTATATTATTTAGTTGCTTGTTTGTTTTTTAAGTCAAACTGGAATCTACAAAATACAGGTGTTTGCTGTATGCGGCAGATATTTTTTGTAATTATTTTCTTCAATACAAAGTAAAAATGAAAGAAAAAAAAACTAGAGTTTTTTTTTCTGTTTTAACCTCACTTTCATTTGTTTGCAGAAACACATCTGTTCCTGAAATCAGTGCATAATAATCGTGCTGTCTTTTGATAGCAGGAGACAAACTTTCAATCTAGTTGTTTTAAAAAATGTTTTTTTTTCTTAATGATCCATATACTTTATAGTCAAAACAAGCTCACTGGCAGTGCGATATTTTAATATGTCAATGAATCTGTTTTCTTTCAGCGTGATCGTATTACCAGTTTTAGGAAAACGGGGACGAAGAAGGAAAAGCTCCTGATACAGCACCCAACAGATCCCCTGTCTACCCAAACGGAACTTCCTGTTCCTCAGCCTCTTTTTGATGAGCGGTCCATGAACCTCTCAGAAAAAGAAATCATTGACCTCTTTGAGAAGATGATGGTAAGCTTTGTGTTTCTCTTGCAAAACGTCACCTGCTGTACTAAACAACAGTTTTATTACAACCGCTAATTCCACATAATAATAAGTAATGAAAATTTCACTATGAAGCACAGTGCTGTTATTTTGAGTATGTGTGGAGCTAGTTAAAACAAAAAAGGGCTTGAAAGGCATTTTTTATATCTATATTTCACTACAGATGCATTCTTGTTTTGCTGCTGGGGGATGATAATAGAATGATTGCTCTCCAGACCGACCCTGGTTTTATACAGTGTCTCTTAAAAAAGTCCTTTCAAACAGGGATGATATGCTGTTCTTTTAACTAAATAAACAATTTGATTAGCATTAACAACATTATGATTGAAACCAGGATCCCACAGAGCTGTCATCTAGTCGAGACAGCTTTATCTGTGGATTTAGAGAGATAACTGTGGTCTTTTTTCAGTGCTTTAACGTTAGCATCAATCCAGGACTTAAAAACCTTGGTGTAACTTATACATTTATAGAGTTATGTCCATACCATCTTTGTTAAAGCCCCACAAAACAATATTAGGATGACACACACAACCTTTAGTACCTATGTGTTAGCATGATATCCTTGGGGTAATGTAGACAACTCCTGCAACTCCTTCTTACTGATCCTCATTTGAAGTAAACGGTGTGCAATAAATTAACCAATTTTTATTAAAGTCTATTTTCTGGAGTTTACCGTGATGCTTAAATTATTTTTAAATAGCTTGTCTTTAATTTTAAATATCCAGTAATCCCATGGTTGTATTGACACAACCATTTTTATTTACCTGTATCTCTGCTGTTGTCGAAAGACAATTATAAAAGCACCACTAAACTATAATGTAGCACCGGATGACATATATGTTCATTATGAAAAATGCAGGCATAGATTATTTTGAAACAACACCACAGTCTTAATAATGGTGGAGGCTTTCACAGTCTCCAGAGATTAGTTAGTGGAGGAAAGAAGCCAATGCTTGTGATTGAGGAAGTATTTTGTGTTGTTGTTCTTTTTTTAAATTTTTTAATTAACAATAAAAGAGTCGCTGAAAATTACGTGGTTTATAATTGATTGTGTCAGCATCATGTGATTTCTCTCCTGTATCATGGTGTTTATTTTGCCCAACCCTGAAGAAGGCCTTTTTCGCCTCAGGTGAGACACCCGGGCAGTACGGGTTACACAGGAAACTTCAGCGTTGTCTCTCTAATTTTGCTGCGTCTGCATTGCAGCTCTAATAATGTCTCAGTGACTGAATCTACATTGATGTGTGACATGCATTCATACTCGTTTCGCCATAAATTTGTATTTTTAAAAATACTTGTGTACAGATTGCGATAAGTTGCCCAACAAAGTTGCAAAGCAGTATAAGCAGATAGGGCTGCCACGATTAGTCGACTAGTCACGATTAGTCGACGCGTCGTTTGAAGCTTTGTAAGATCACAAAAGACGCAGGAATAAGTAGTAGGATTTAAGAGTGTAATAACGGACTGAAACTGAAGATGGCAGCACTGCATGTACAAGGATGCCAGCTGCCGTTAAACCCCGAAGAAGAAGAAGCTGTGTCCCAGAATTCATAGCGCAGATAGTTATTTTTAATATTACTCTTATTATTCTTTCTGGGTCACAAAATAAACGTTTAACATATTTACATATTTTCAGGCGAGAATGTAGCTGTGTAAACCTCAAATATCTGCTCAGTTTATCAAGACACCACATATTTTCAAAAGCTCTCCTACGTTTTCGGAGATGTCTGTTACCCACTAGCTCGATAGCTAGCCGGGGGCGAGGCGAGGCTAACTAGAGCCGTGAGAACAGCGGACTCCCGGCAGATCGTCTTCAAACCCACGGCCGTCTTTCGCTGCTCAGGTTAAACATGATATATGAGTCACTTAGATAACTTAAAAATGATGTTGTTTGGCTTTTTTTGTATTTTATTTGTTCCTGAGTAAATCGGTTTGGCTGAGAATAAAGTTATAGTTTTTGCACAGCTGAATAAACCTCAAGCAGACAGCTGATTATCAGAAGTGTGAGATGCTCAATTTACTCCGGTGTCCTGTTATATTTTAGATAGCAAGGAGTTTATTAAACTTCACCGAAACAATCTGCAAATTTCATTCAAATTTAATAAACTATCATCTTGTCTTTATTTTTAGTTAGAACAGACCTTAAACACTTCAAGCTGTAAGCTAATGATAGTTATATAAGAGCAGATGCTGCTGGTGTAATAAGCTGTACGTTTTACTCCAATGGATGATGATCTGATTAGTCGACTATCAAAATAATCGTTTGTGGCAGCCCTATAAGCAGAACTGCATGTCTCTCTGACATCTAGGAACTACTCTGTACTTTAGAATTATTTATGGATAACAACGTTAAACACAGACTTCGGCCACTTCTCAGTATTAGTTCATTGTGGTTTCTGTGTTTTCATTGGATTTGTTGATATAAAAGATTATGGAACCAATATTACCTTTTAACTGAACCAAAATGACCTGAGATTTATAGAAAATGTAAATGTTTTATATTCAGATGTTAACCTTTTGTGAGGCCGGTCTCCACCTACGTATTCCTTAGGCCAGTGTGAGAAGTACCAAACTTTGAAATTCACTTCGCACTCATCCGTGGGGTCAAAGCTCTGTCACACTTGTGATTTTCTCCATTGAAATGCATTTTTGGCCTTATGTACTGCAGGATTGAAATCTTACAAAAAGCTTTCAGCCCATCTCTTTGAAGTGAGGAGCTGAATTACTCTGGCTTCATTGCATAGGTTGTGTGTACTATTGTGGATAATGTCTCTGAGTGTGTATGTGTGTGTGTGGTACGGTGGCTGCCTTTCCTTTTTTCTCATACAATGGTCTTTATTGCCAGGGCCAGAGAAATACGACCAGTGCTCCTGGTTTTCATCAGGCGAGTGCTCAGTGTTTTCTTGCCTGGGTGCTCATCCCTGTCACTCAGTTCACCTCTCAATTACTATGTTTGTGCTCACAGCAGCGTGACATTAAACCCAGGCTTCAATTTGCTCAGTGACAGATGACACAGAAGGCATGTTTGTTGGTCTGACATTTGACAGGCCTTGACACTTTGGGTTGGGAAGTATAATTACAGTAATGAAATTAAAATTTAAAAAAGGGTTATTTACTTATGTACTTTTTAAGCAAGCGCTATTTACACTCATAGACAGTAAACTTTTCTGGTCAAACCTAGTAAACACAGAACTGTGGTGTGTAGTTTCTTTTGATGATAGTAGCTTCTCTTCAACATCTATCTGTTCAACACACATTCCAGTTGCTCTCTGTCTTCTTTGTCTCTACACCCATTCTGTAATTGATTGTTATTATGGTCCTACATGTTGCAGTCTTGATGTCTAGCTGGCTTCAAATAAAGGGCTGACCCATGGCATATTAGTGAGACCCCCTACTGTGCGTTAATGACTAGCAGGAAAGTGAAAATACTTTTTTCCGCTGCAAAGTGGTTACACATTGCGCCGTGTATCTCAAAGCTTAAATAGCACGTAGCCTATTACTGAAAGGTCATCAAAAGGGTTTGTCAAAATATAGGAAGAAACACTCAGTCAGTGGCCAGGAAACCCAAATGAACTCTTTCTAGAATTTTTGAAACCAACCATTAAGAGCAGGAGTATATTTGTAAAAGTACAGGGGGAAAGTTAAAATGCATGGAAAAACATTTACTTTCAGGAGGGCATTGTGTTTGTATGTCTCATGTGTTTTGTCACGGAATTTCCTAAGATGTGCACAGCTTGAATTCACAGGATCTCATCAAAATGCGTAGACATAAATCAGTTGCTGGAATTTCATGTATTTGCGTCTCACTAGAAACGCAGCTATAATGCTGTAGTCGACTTCACTAATAGCACAAAAACAACATATAAAAAGAATTGACTGTTCTGTTGAAGATTTTTACTAAACCTCGAGGTATCACGATAACCACAGTCCTTTTTTTAATGTGTAGAGTTATGACTGTACACTTGCATAGGCGTGGTGTTTTGTGAGGTCAAACGCATGAACTCATCTCCTCAATTTAGACCGTCTGCCTGATGGTGTGAATATGGCTGCTGCATATTGGCACTCTCCTCCCAAGTTGCCATTAGCAGTCGTGGCATTATTGCCCAGATGATGGTTTTACTTGGCTGCCAGCATGAAAACCTGCAAGAGCATGACATCCATACTTGATTGATTCGACTGATTTGATTTCTGTGCCAATTTGTCTCTGTTTCCGCTCTTTAGAGAATATCTTTTTCGAGCAGGGGAACGGTATTGAGGTGCGCGCAAAGACAGAGGAGCAGTGAAAGAAGAATGTGACATTGCTGCTGTGGCTAGTTTGGGGTTTTATGTGCCTCTCTGTGAGCCTTGTCAGGATGAACACTCCTCGTAATAAGCTCCTATGTGATCCCTCAGCAGTTCCACTCTGCACCAGGACATTAAAACCAGCCCACAGGAGAATTACTGCATGTGCCCTTACACACTCATGGATCAGACTTGAGGCTAGTGGACAAAATAATTGATTTGTCACAGTTGAAGCAAAACATTTTATACTTCTACTTTTCTTAGATCCAGTTTTCCCCATAGGGTGAGCACTCCATACTGTTTTCTGCCTGAGATGCATTTGATGGCTCCCATTAATTTTCCCTTTCAATGATACAAAGCCTGTAGTGCCCTGGTTTTGCTCTGTTTTAGGCTTACCACACCACAGGATTTTGGAATTTTAGGGCCATCTTGTATTATTTTGTATATATTTTAGAAACTAAACACAGCAGTGAGTGTCTAACGGTTTGCATTGTGCTCAAGATTTTAATATTAGGGCGCTTACGTCCACATTATATGATCCATGCAGTAATTTCTTTTACGCCTTTTTAATACAAGGGCAAACTCATTTTATAGGTCAAATCATAACCTTAAACTATGCAATAATTTGATGAAAACCTGTCGCAGTTAATGAATACCTGAAATTTACCATCCACAGACTTTAGCAGATGCTTGGTATCTTCCCTGGTGAGGTGCTGCCAGGCCTGTGGTGCAGCCATCTTCAGTTATTGCTTGTTTGGGGACTGGTCTTTAGTGAGTCAAACACCTGCTCAGTTGGATTTAGGTTACTGGCTAGTCAAGAGCGTTGCACAATACGTATGAAAACTCGTTGATTGCTTCGACTGTATTTGGGACGAAGCAATCAGCAGAAAGTCTGCTGTGTTTTTATTGCCTGGCTACTGTAGAAATACATTCTTAGTCGATTTTGCCAGACCAGTGTGAGACAAACAAGGAATCTTTGTCCCCGTAACTTCGCCGTCATTTATACAAGCTCAGATCTCCTCATTTCAGTCACATCAGCAGCATAGGCATGATATCTTGAGACTCCTTTTTATGTAGCCTGTGAGGGTATAATTAATAATAGAGCATTAATCATTTTGGAGGCGAAACATGAGGGCTCATTCCTCGAGTTTGCCCCCTGACAAGCGTCCCGCAGGCCCACTGCTCCTACCCCTCCCATAATGTACTCACCCCATCACATTTTGCCTCCTTTATTGAATGCCAATTAAGCAGATAAATTAGCAGGGTTCAGAGATTAATTGAAAAACCTGCTGGTTTCCTTCAGTGAAAAAAACCTGCCAATTGTAAAAGTTTCAGCTGCACTTTCTCCCCTCCTCTATCTCCCAGAGATATTAATGATTTTTGTAGCTCAAAGGGTATTTACTAGAGGAAATATGCTTGAAGGAATTCAGGTCACCGTGCCCCTGGATGGAATTCCTGCCCATGCTTCGCTAACAAATGAAGAAAAACCTTGTGAATCAGGTTATTTGTGGTAAGACATTCAAACAGTGTTCTTACTTTCAACTCACGCGCTTCGTTTTTTTTCTCTAGCTGAATTTTACACTTAACTGCATGAAAGGAAATCACTGTCAGAACAGATCAACGTGTACTAAAAGACAAATGATTTTCTCTGCTTCCCAGCAGAGGGCAGCATGCCTCCACACCTTTAGGTTCACTGTTCTAAAACCTCGAGGAGGATGTTTTTTCACTCTGTTCATTCTACCCATCTCTTTGTGAGAGAGTGCTTCTGATAAACATCCCCCTCCATTCTAATCATCATGTCATTCCCTAGCTTTTAGTGCTCTGTCCAGCCTTCGCTCTATCCCTGATGTCTCTCACATGAAAGACCTCTTTTGTGATGCAGAATTAAAGTAGCATGAAGATAATACTCCCAATAACACACAGATACTGCCTATCCAGCCTATCTGATGTGATTGCATGGCCTCAATAGAAGCAGTGTGTTTGATTTTGTTCTCCTGTTCTGAGTTGGGGTGTACAGTTTTTATTGCTGCAGCCTTGCTACTTTCGTTTCAAGGACTAATTATTATTGCCATTATTTTCTGCTGCGGAGCCACGTGACTTTAATAAAGCAACAGACAGCAAACTTTTTTCAGCCATGGAAACAGGATTTTCTATTAAAGGATTTTAGTGGAAATGGAACAATAATTGTGTGTTTGTTGAAAAAGCTTTTTCTTGTTAGTGAAACCATTGTGCTGTAAATAACCTTGTAACAAGTTTGAGGTTGTGAAATGCAGTTGATTTGAAATGTTTTATTAAATTCAAGTTCAAATGTCAAGTATTTTTGTAAAATCTGTTTTGACTTAAAACTGTTTTGAATCACAGAGCTTCATTATTAACATTTTGCCTTTCTTGTTGTGTAGGAGGACATGAACCTGAATGAGGATCGCAAAGCGCCGCTGCGAGAAAAGGACCTGAGCACCAAACGCGAGATGGTGGTCCAGTACATCTCAGCCACGGCCAAATCTGTAAGTGAGAGAATGATGCATTTCAGAGTTATGTCTTTATAAGCTAAGATATATTGTACAGTTGTAACTGGTGGGCTGCAATGTCACGACACTTAACACTCCTCTCTAGAATGACAACATGATGCTTTTTGCTTGCTTTGTCATCTGCTCTTGCACACGCTCACTTTTGCTGCCTTTCTTCACACCTCATGCTTGAAATCCACGCCTTTGATTGCAGTTTTGATTTATATCCCTTACTTCTCCCCCTGTTGTGCCGAAATCTTCCAGATTTAAGGCAATCCCTCACTTACTCAATCATAGGTGGATGGTCCAGTCACATGCTTGCATGAAAACGGTTGGTTGTCCAGGTGTATAATTGCATGTGAATTTTTGGTGGTGTCTTCTTGCTGCGTTATTTGTTTATAAAGACGAGAGGCACTGCAATCAAATACAGGAGTGAAATAGGACAAATGTCTGACCAGTAAACCTGTGATAATTCTTTACACTGCACCATAGCATGCTTTACCGTTTAGTTTTGCATGCTATGGATGCTTAGCAGAATTATTTTGTTGGTCTGTTGACTCTCAGTTGTTTTAAAATGAGATTAGATATAAAATTAATTAAAATGATTTTGCCTGTTTTGTGTTGGAGTAATTTGGTGGAGAGGCGATGCTTAATCATTTTAAGCAATAACAGTTTTGGCAGCGATCCATGAATGTATGATAAATTCTTGTATTGTCTATTGAAGTTATGGGCAGCCTCGTGCTGTAAAATTCAGATCACTTCTGAAGAAGAAGAAGAAAAAGTGATTTCTGTCCTCTTTGTTTCCTGAACCTGGTAGCTCCTTCTTGACATCATCATTTATTACCTGCCTCATTGTTATGGTAATTAACTGGCATTATTGATAATGATGATTATCCGAGATGATTGAATTCCACACAGGGCCCATTATGCTTTGTGAGCACTGATATTTTATTCAAATGAATAACGTAATCCATGTAGTCAAAGGACAGAGGACAAAATGGGATGTCTGTCAGCACCCTGCTATCACATTTAATAGGTCTGAAGAAAGGGGATGGTTGAATGTCAGTGATGATTGTGTGCGTGCTGATTCATGCAAGTGCACATGCAGTCACACTATAATACAGGACAGCTATATATCCAAACACCATTACATACCAATAATACATAAAGATAATGTGCTTCAACTTAATAGTTTGCCATTTCTTTACATATGATTGCAATAGTAATGTGACACGGCTGCCAATTCGCTGCAGTTAGCAACGTGATACACAACAATTATTCCTGTAACTACAGTATGAGAGAGACAGGAAGACTTTTATTTCAATGTTTTAGAGTATATCAGAGATTATTCCAGGAAGAAATTCTGTTATTTTAAGAGTATAAAAAAATATAAGACACAAACAAAACAAGAACAAAAAAATGGCCAAGTTGGATAATTTAGTCATCAGTAGATTTGTTCTCCTGTTTTCAATAAAGTGTATTTATACAATTAATTGCCTCGCTTTCTTTTACGTCCTGATAGATGAAAAAAGATATTTCTTAATGTTACTTTATTTAAATATTTACAAATGTATGTAACAGTAAAGCTTCCTCAAACCGCCTTGTAGTGTTCCTTTGCTGTTGGACTGTGTGATGTGGGTTGTGGTAACCCAGTCACTCATTGCTGCAGTGTAGTTTGTCAGCAGTTGCCTTACAAGTGTGAAGAGGGTTTCAATTTTTGAGAGCTTTTATAATTTAGACTTCAAAATCACCATCATTTTTTTCCACTCAGTCTGCACGAATGAGCCTATATGTCTGTAAATTAAAGGTTGGACATTATTGGGGGCTAATGCTGCATATGGGTGCTAATACGCATGTGAGTGGTGATCGAATGTAGGAGTGCATTTTGATGTCTGTCTGTCTGGATTCTCTGTCTTGCTGTTGTGCATTCAATGCTAATGTCATTTTGCTCATCTAGCAAAGATGTATGCTGCATTGGGAGGTTGTGGTTTTTGTTGGTGTCAAACGGCTACAAACATGCTTTGTCTTTTTCTTTTTCTTTTTTTACTCCACACGCTATTTAATAGGTGTCTGATTTGCACTTACCTTTCATTTCAGTCATTGAAATATAAGGGGGACAACCAGGACCATTTCTTCCACACTCATATGTAGTCAAATTTGTGTGTAGACACTTTAATTCACCTCTTTCTTTCTCAACTTAATGCAGTTGCAGAGAACGTAGATTTGGAACTAGAAGTTTAAGTCAGTAAATGCTGGCGGAACAAGAAATATCCCCCTTGTATTGTGTAACCCTTTTCTTGTCTGTCTCTGCAGACTTGCTCAATTGAACATGTGCCTTAGTGTTCAGGAATAGGCAGTATTCCTGGAGTTCAATAGCTTTAAGTGCTTCAGGTTTCTCTCACGGGGTGCTCCTTGTACTGTTCTTGTATGTACAGTATATTCACCTTTCATGCTTACTGACATACCACATCCAACTGCTGTTTGGCTCGAAAATGACATAAAATGGGAAAAGACTAATTCTTACTTTGTTTTCTCTTGTAAAATATGTCTTTCAAAGGGAAGTTAAAGCTTTTCTTCTTCTCTCTCCTGTGAATTGCCACCTCTCTCCTGGTCTGTTGCCAGGAAAGTTTGAGAACACTTCCCATAGTATACCAGGGTGCCTCAGCAGGGGTCTAGCAAATTACCCCCAACACAAACGGGGATGTCTTTTCACAGGAGAATTCCACATTAACCCTGTTCATTTGAATATGAGCTGTGTTTCAGTGGAATCCATTGCTGCTCTTGCACGAGTGTGTCTACTGACATCATTGTCCATCAGCTTTGCATGAACAGCTGCACTTCTTTCTCATCTTATTTTCCTGTGCTTTCTTCCCTTTACATATGTGCCAAACTAATCTAAACAATTGATACTATTAGAATTTCTCTGAGATTTAGTTTTGACTACCAGCTGTGAATATTTCAGTGTATAATTCCAGACTTGCTCTGTCTCATCCAGCAAAGGTGTTATGGCAGGGTCTTAACAGGGGGACGTTCTAGTGAAATTAACGAAGTTTTATTCAAATATTGGTTTGTTTGATGCAACCAATGTGCCACCTTCTTCTCTGAGTGGGACCCGGATTTGCTGAGGTCATTCAAGCACTTTATTGTTAGCCTGATAAGTGTTTACGTAATTATTTGGAAAAAAGAAAAAAAAGAGTAGACATAACTGTATTTGTTCTGAATAAAAAAATCTGTATACTTGCACCTATTGACTTTATACGTGTGCCTATTGACTTCTCCTGCTAAGCATCAGAACTCAAAAGGTAGTAAAATGAGAAAACTTGTCCTTGTTTCAGAAAAAGGTGTTACATTGCACCCAAACCAAAAACTCGTTAGTGAAACTGTGCCGTTCCCCCTTAAGCTCCTCTCTGACTATTATCTGAACACACTAAAGATAGTGTCTGCTATTTTGGTCAAGCTGCTATGAAATGATATTAAAAATACGTATTTGATCTGGTTGGCATCAATATCCACGCAAAGTATCTGAGCTCTGAGTTACATCAATGTGACTCATTTCAAGGAGTCTAATCTACAGGATTCAGGTAATGCACCGTCTTAAATAGTGATATGCTGCATTCGCAGGAAAGCAAGGAAAATGTAGTTAGTGTGAATACAAAGTAGTATTTCTGCGATCAGGTGATGACGTGTAGAAGACGCTTTATGTGATGGAGTGATGGAGAGGGGAATCAAGCATCATATGGCCACACATCTAGGGAGTTTGTGCGTGACAGTAAATGAAACAAAAAGGTAGGTTTTGTACTTCCTCTCTCTGCATACTAGAGAGACGGGGTACCCTAGTGTGTCCTGTAACTTCCTGCAATCAAAATGCATTTCTTCAGGAGCATACGGCAGAGAAAGAAGAGCTCAACCACAGATTAGAATACATTTACTCTGCTGACAGACACACTCCTACTGTGAAACAAGCCCCACAGTTGCAGTAATGAAAATCACTTCCGTTACCTGCCACTATTGACAAATAACAAGGTTAAACTTCAAGAATCGTGCTGACTGCATGGGTTCAAGGTAGCTCCGCCACGCAAATTTGACACCTGAAGCCCAACGTTAATGGCAGCAGATTGATTTCAGTCCACAGAGCCTCTTTGCCCACACTAGCCACTGTTCTGTTCTGTACCACTCATTCAATCAGGCAGTCACAAGGGCAATCATATTTTATCCCCTTAATCATTTAATTAATACCTTGTGTGGAAGATGGCATGACTAAACATGACTTCCGCTTTTGTTGCCGCAACTTTTACTTCGGCGTGTTTTCATATGCCGAGCAAATATTCATATTCAAAATAATTGGTAACACTGCAGCTGCCAAACGCAGACATTATCTTCAGCGTGTGACGACAGTTTTGAATGTTCTCTTGTTGGCTTTTTTCAATTGTAAGTGTATAGTGTGTGCTTTAATTGTGTGAAGAATTTTTGTGATGTCCCATAAGTTACGCTAATGCTTCAACGTGTAATGGAGAGAATTCTCTGGCCTTACTAATGATTGTGCTGTTTGTGTCTTTTTGCACATTAACCTCCTCCGCTGATCGCTGCATGCAGATAACTGGGAGCAAAGTTGCGGTAAGTAGCCCATTATTTATTTAGCTTGTGAATCTTCGTACTTCTATGTATCTGTCTTTATTCACTCCCTAAGCTCACAAATACACATTACACATCATTTTATCTCGTTTTGGAAGGATGTTGAGGAGCGCATTCTGAACTGTGCAAGTGAGGGTCATTTCATTTTCTTTTCATTTTCACCTGTGATATTACTAATGGGCTTTAATTTGAAAAGGCTATAAACTGTCAACACTTTTCCTGCATGCAAATTTTTAGCACTTTAAAATGAGAAATCTTGAAATTATACAGCCTGAAAGTGAGTCAGGACACCTTTTGTTGGTTTTTGCTGTTTCTCTTTGAAATTGATTGCAGTGTAACTTCTATTAGCATTTCAATACTTTAAT